GCCAAAGTTCACTCCACAAAAATGTGAAGCGGCTTTGGGAGCCGAGGGACCGTTGAGCTGCGGTCCCGGACTGTGTCTGTGCTACTGACGCTGCACATTGTCAGTGACGCTGAAATGCTGTGTTGGGAAATGTCCCAGAGCGACACATTTGTTGTTGTTATAGGCTGCAGTGAGTAAACAATAATCCACTTTTTTCTACCAAATTAACGTCATTCTTGGCTTAAAGGTCCTTTAGAATTAAAATCATTAAAGTGGGGAATGTTGAAAAAGAAAATTGAGTATGAGAAAATGTTCATGAATTTCTTCCTGCTTCTTATTTCTAGAAAATAAAAGCTTAATAATACAAAATTACTGTTGAGTTTTTCACATTGTCTTATATAAATGTTGACATTATTTTAACAGTCGTAACAATCTAGAAAAATCTGAAATTTGATTTCCGTCTGTGGTGCTGCAGCGTGGTTAGCATTCAGATGCTAATTTAGGCTAACTCCTGTTAGCATAACTTGGACACAACAACAGTCAATAATCAAAAAGGTTTTTGAAGCGGAAATTAACCCAGTGGGCCAAAAGTAGCGGCTTTGTCTTATATCTGTTATGATCCGTGTTTCTGTGTGTTTATTTTTGAGATTTTCTGTGTTCAGTCCTGTTTTCCTGTGAGTCTCTGTCCTGTCCTCCCCGTTCCCGTGAGTCTCTATCTCTGCGTCTTCCCCGTTGATTGTTCCCAGGTGTTTATCGTTCCCTTGATTACCCCGTGTGTATTTAAGTCCACCTGTTGTCTTTGTCTCTTGTCGGGTCCTTGTCTTAGTTTGTCGTTTGACGTCTATGCGCTCCAGTTGAACTGTGAAGTCCTGGATAGCGTTTGCGCCTTTTTCCAGCCCTGCTATCAATTGCTACCGGTAATTAGCTGTGTGCTAGTTTCTCCGCCGTGCTGCCTGTTTTTGGACTGTTCTGAGCTTTATTATTAAATTCATCATCATTATCACCGTAACCTGGGTCCTGCGTCTCCTCACCACCACCCACAACCACCTCCTGACAATATCGGTGTTGTTAATGGGGAGCGCTTGTGCATCAGATTTACGGGCGTACCAGAAACAATAATAGAAAGGTTCCGACTTGGGACTTTATGTACAAAAACATAGTAATAAATTAATGATTGTGCTAAAACAAAAATGTTAGTATTAACTCCCTTTGTCACTTAGTGCTGACTGCATCTTTGCATGTTTTAGAGTCTTTATACTCCAGTTAATGTTTAATCAATTACTAAAATAGTTTAGCTTAATCATTGATTAATTACGATTAATCCGGTTAATCGTTTCAGCTCGTCAATAATTAGAGGCATTAATAGGAACAACTGTTGGTTTTTGGGTTGCTGCATGTTTTTGTCTTATATCTTAAATCTTTGTTGCTATGAAAGGGATGGTGTGGAGCTGTTTCCACTCAGGATGTTGCTGGATAATCTGGAGACCTTTGTGAGAATCCTGATGTTCCTCTGAGATCAGAAGAGTTTTACAGGCAGCCACTCAAGTGTGTGTGTGTGTGCGCGCGCGCGCGCAGAGTTTAGGCTGCTATTTAATGCTGTGGAAGTGTGTTTTGTCCCTTGCCCAGGCCCCTTCAGCCAGGAGCTAAATTCCAGTCGAGCGAACAAAGGAGGCGGTCGTGTAGGGGATGGGGGGAGGTTTGGGGCACAGCGGCAGGGACCCAGGAAAGACGAGATACAGAGCAGAACCAGAGACAACGGGCTCTGTTTGTCAGTGTTAGGCCTAATAAACGCAGAGCAACTCACCCTCTCCTGTGTCTTTTTATGTACTTGTAATGCCATTGTGCAGCGTATCTCTCCTTTGTGAGTGTCTAGGCATAACAATATTGTTCTTGCTTGACTCTTTGTTGTTCCTGTTCCAGTTTGAAAGGGAATAATTGGACAATAAAGACACACGACTGCTGACAAAGCACAAGAGGAAGGTTTCCCCACAAGCTCATCTTCAAAGTAGCACAGCCAGCAGGAAAGCAGGAGGAGGCTTGGCTTTTTCTCCTCTGCTTTGTGTTTCTCTCTTGTTCAGGTATAAAAGATGCATCAGGATTTTAATTATGCGGGCAGCAAAAGACGCAGATTAACCTTCAGGACTCCAGTTCCTGCAGCGCTGAGTGACAAGAAGGACGTGTTCATGTTCTACATTTATATAACATCTCTGATTAAATGGATACTAATTTAGACAAACCTATCACGATATAACCATTTCTTGTCAGTCGATATCACTGATTATTGATTAGTTTGTTGTTCTAAATACTGAAATACTGCCTAACAGGCGGTGTGAGCTTTCCTGTGTTATCGATGACTTTTTATTTTTAAGCATTTTTGAGACGTAAAACCTTAAACTGCTGCTGTGCAAGTTACCCAGCAGGTTGTTGCTAGGTAACCTAATTTGGGGAACTTGAATCTGCTTGCTACTCACTCACTCTTTGGTTGCTAGGTAACCTAAGAGTGAGTGAGTTGATGCCACTCAGTGAATATTCTATATACTGAACATACAGATGTGTTACCTATCGATATTGATCATGTCTGTTGTGATTTATAGTCACTGATTTATTATCCAGGCCCACTGAAAAAAGCAAACTGAGGAATTTGAAAACAGAAAAAATTATTCACCAATTCACCATCTTCCTCGGGTCTCTTCCTCTTCTGAAAAAATCCTCTCATCTTAAAATTAATCCAGGAATCAGTCTCACCAGGAAGTTACCCAACATTTAGCTAAGTCGTGTTGTAAGCAGATCCTCTTAGGTTCCTTTCTTTCACCTTTTCTCTTCCTCTACTTCAAACTGCCGTAGTTTTACTTCACTCCAAAGAGCAGCGCAGCGCACAGTAGCGAGCTTCACTCTGCGAAAAATCAGAAATGTTGGTTTTTCAAAATAAAGTAGATTTTAATGTTTCATGGTATTTTTATTAATTTCAAACTGTGATTATGGTTAGTACAAGTGCACAAATGTGGGCTATATATATGTATTTCATATGACTTGCATTGTTTTAGCATTTGTTTGAAATAATTCTGAAGCTGTGGCGCTTTTATTTTGTCGCGGCGGTGCTCCACCATCAGAACATGCAGAGGGAACATTATGATTATAAATGATGGAGTTTATTTCTAGAGATAAACAGTATTAGTACTTCTAGATCTGTGCCGCTCATGATGACATTTTGGAGGTTTTTAAAACTTTTTCCAGACTTTTGGTCATAATTTACGTTGAGGCGTTGCATGTTTGGACAATTATTCCCTTTGGCTCTGGATGCTTGGCTGATTTTTGCTCTTTCTTTTGTACATTTGGACTGTTGTGATGAGTAACCATGGCAACAAGGAATTATTTTTACAACTGGGAGCAGCTGATTAGCATCTGAAAAGCTCAAATAAAACCTGAATTGCAATCAGAGAAGTTGAAAAGGAGACTTCATGGACACAGAGAGAAGTCAAAACCATCGCTTCCATTAATTATTTCCGATCAAATCCCCTACTCTAACGTCTCTCAGCCCAACTTTCTAACCATATGGCCAGAGGTTTAAAAAGGAGCATTTAAAGCACAGGAAGTTGGTTACAGGAGGACTGATTTTAAGGAAACAGAGTAAATGGTCATAGTCCTGAATGAGGCATTCGACAGCAGCTTTTTTCCCCCCACATTACTTTCTCGCAGCAGCACAAGCTGAGCATTGATTGGATCAATACCAGTGAGTCAACAGTTTCCTGGCTGCTGGCTAAGCTTCCCAGTTCTGCATCGGAAACCATTCCCAGTTCCTAATTTCACCTCTAGATCTCCTCCGAGTCTTTAAGCAGCGACCCACAGATTAGATTTCACACCTAATGGATGGAGAATGTGGGAATAAAGAAGTGAAAACGCAGCAGAGGTAAACGAGTGGAGAGGAAGAGGGTGATAGCGATCCCAGTCGATAATCCTCCTTAAAGCTCACATGAGCAGCTGATGCACCGTGCACTTAATTCAATTACACCAGTTCCCTGTGGACCTGGGTCTGTGTTTACAGCGGCGACCCGCATCAATCTAAAGGCTCTGAGGAAAGACGGGCGGAAGAATGGAGACGACGCAGTAAACGTGTGGAGGAGGAGAGTTTCATCCCTCATTCTGGGCTTTGGTTGTAACCAAACTAACAGCTGACCTCCTTAAGTCATCATCCGTCCGTCCGTCCATCTGTCTTGTTGTAGTTTTGCTCGGGTTCAGGTTGTTGGGTTTTAAATAATCCCGGGTCTCGTTTGTATGGAAGAGAAAATCATTTATTAATCCGTGTTTTTGTGGTTTTTATCAGCTGGAATAAATGTAAATCTGAAACGGCTTCAACGCTCGACTCACTTCACTGCTTTGTACTTTTGTTTATTATGTTTACTGTAAATCACATTATTAACTGTCTTTTTTTTTTTACAAATAAATAAAAAATGAACTCCTCCTGATGGTCGAGGGGGAAACTTCAGCTCTGGAGTCGGACTGGCTGTCTGCCAGTTCGATTCCTGGTCAAACTGGCCTTGGGCAAGACACGCCCCCTGATGATGTCATCAGCCTTTGAGTGCGTCCTATAGAGCAGGGGTGGCCAAGTCCAGTCCTCGAGAGCCACCATCCTGCAAGTTTTAGAAGTATCCTTACTCCAACAGACCGGGATCAGCTCTACAGAGGCCTGATAACGAGCCAGTCATTTGATTCAGGTGTGTTGAAGCAGGGATGCATCTGAAACTTGCAGGATGGTGGCTCTCGAGGACTGGACTTGGCCACCCCTGCTATAGAGGAAAACGGCTGCGTATGCAGGGGATGCATCAGTGTCACGTTGTTTTATTGATCAGGAAGCAGCAGATAAAAGCCTCCAGTTTGATTAAAGTGAAACAAAACCTGCAGAGAAATTAGTTAATTTAGACTTTCTGATGTTTTCTTTTACAATTTGGTAATAAAATAATCAACAAAAAGGTTTCTGTGAAAGGCTTAAGGTAATTTTATTGATAGTTTCTTGTTCTTTTCAGCTGTTTCGAGAGGTACGCATCATGAAAACCCTGAACCATCCCAACATAGGTAGGTTCCTCTTCCAAAACCGATTCTGTTTCCATGGCGACAGTGGTCCTAACCTCTCGCCCTCTTGGTGTTGCAGTCCAGCTGTTCGAGGTGATTGAGACGGAGAAGACTCTTTACCTCGTCATGGAGTACGCCAGCGGAGGTGAGCGGTCGCTCCACCAACACCGCAGTCGTAAAACTATTGGATTCTGCCCGTTGGATCGATCACTTCTCGGCTCTAAAGTCCAATTTGCTAATTAATTGGAGCTGGAAACTCAATTTTCATTAGAGAAAACTCGCCTGTGGGAATAAAATAACGGCCTCGCCGTTGTATTTTCTCTGTTATCTTCTGTTTTGCTGATTGGTGAACTGTTGAAGCTGGTTTACGGTTGATCTTTGAAAAATTTAGTGTTTTCAAGCTTTGGAAATTGTTTGATTTCTGATATTCCTTGATATTCAAACTGCAGTTTTCTAATAAAGTACAATCTTTATTAGAAGACAATATTTACAGTCAAAACTAAATATTTAAAGATGATAATATACATTTTTTTCTCAGTGTTTCTGACGTTAAATCAGACCAAACGTTTCTTGTTTTAGGTTAGTCAGAATTACTGCAATTATTTCTGTTTGCTAAATGCAAGAAAACTCAGCAAAAACTTTTTTTTGTAACCGTCTCAGACCAGTCAGGTCTATAGGGAACATTTAATAGCATCAAATTTAGTTATATTTTAGTTTATTTTGCCTCTGCTGTAGAATGAAGAACACTACCACCAGATATTATTCACAATAATTGAAACAGTCCTTTCTTAGTTCAAAGATGGTGCTGGAAAAGTTTGAAAACTTTCCTTGAAATTTCTTTTTAAATCCACACCAGGTCAGAATTATTCATACGGGCTCCTGAATGTCCTTTAATTAAAAAGTCAAAGTTTTTGGTCATGATTTCGTGCAGCTGGTATTTTCCTGCTTGATTGGTTATTGGGGAAATCCTTTAAGCAGAACAGCTGCAGATTCCAAGTTCATCAGTTCATCAGTTCATTAGTTCAAACAGTTCATCAGTTCAAACAGTTCATCAGTTCAAACAGTTCATCAGTTCAAA